ACTCAAGAAAGCAATTTCCAAGCTGGTCACATATTTTACAGTCTTTTTCAAATCAAGCTGGCAAAAATGATAGCATTGTCAAAACTTCTGTAGCAGCCTACTGGGTCAGAGCATGCTTGGACTCAGCCATCAGACTCTGGGTTTGAATTCAGGCTTTGCTGGCACATCAGCTCTGTGGCCTTGAACGAAGTGCTTCGCTTCTCAGTGAAGTTTCTGAATCTCCAAAATAGTGGTGATAGTTGCAGTGCCTCCCTCATAGGGTTGTTAGGAAGATTAAATTAGGTAACGCGTATAAAACCCTCTGCCCAGGGCTCGCACAGAATTCACATTCAGTGAATGCTGGTTGTTGGTGGTGGTGGGAGTGTTAAAACAAAAGAGCAAAATGTGGCCCCTCCCTCGCTGGTAGTCACAGAGTGCTCTTGTAGCTAGTGTCACAGCTGCCACTTCATTTTCTTCCCAGCTTACTTGCTTCCTCTGGCTCTGTTCCTAACTATTCATTTAAAAAATAATTTTAAAAAACCAATAAAACAAAATATGGAGCATATCTCCTCCTAACCCTCCTCTGCCTTTAGAAAAATCATCAATCTATAGCTTTAATGTGGCCGGTAATCTTTTTATGTGTGATGTAGGCTTAGTACTGATTTTTTAAAAAATTTTTTGCCTCAAAGTAATGATGTGTTGCTTCTGCTTACTGATCCTCTGCTTGGAAAATGTTCACCTCACCTTTTGCTCCTAGAACTACTTTTAATCCTTGGATCCCTTTACTCACACTGTAACCTTAGCTATCACATGGGAAGAGAGAGCAGGGGCACAGGGGTACCTTTTAAAAAAAATCATTTAAAATTTTTTTTGGCTTTAAAAAAATTGAGGTATAATTTGCTTACCATAAAACATCCATTTTCAGTGTATTAAAAGAAGACTTTTAGTAAATTTATACAGCTTTGTGTCTTGTTTCTTTTTTCATTTTATGTATCTTTTTTATTCAAGTATAGTTGGTTTACAATGTTGTTGTCTCATTTCTTACGCATTTTTCTTTAGCGTCACTGCAATCCAGTTTTAGAACAATTCTGTCAGCCCCATCATGTCCATTTTCAGTCAGTCTCCACTTGCATTCCCTGACCCAGGTCTACCTCTGATCTGTTTTCTGCCTCTGTAGTTTTACTTTTTCTAGAAATTTCAAATAAACGGAGTCATACAATATTCTGTCTTTGTGTTTGGCTTCTTTCATTTAGTTCAGTGCCTTTGAAGTTCGTTCATGCTGTTGCGTTATGTCAGTGATCCGTCCCTTTTTTATTGTTGGGTGATATTACATTGTATGACTGTACCACATTCTGAAAACTCCACTTTCCAACTGATAAACTTTTGAACTGTTTCCAGGTTTTGGATGTTCTGAGCCTAACTGCTAGGTCCGTTCACGTATAACTCTGTGTATGGTCGTCTGTCTTCAAGAGAAATGAAGACACACTTTGGTGTGAAAGTGTTGGGTTATATGATGAGAAACTTATCAGCCGTTCCCAAAACGGCTGTACCATCGTGCTTTCCCAGCAGCAAGGGACGCGATGCGAGGATTCTAGTTTCTCCACGTTCTTGTCCACACTTTAGATACTTGGCTGGATAGGCTGCAGTATTTCGTGTTGGTTTCAACTTCCATTTTCCTAATGACTAATGGCGTTCAGTACTTTTCTGTGTAGATTCCCCAGGATGGATATAAAATGTCTTCAGATAGTTCACTCATTTAAAAAAGTTGAATTGTTTGCTTTATTATTGTAAAAAGAGTCCTTTAGATATTCTATAGCCGTCCTCTATTAGACAATTACTTTGCTCTTTATATATTCTAAATACATGTACTTTATCAGATAATTATTTTGCCAATATTTTCTTTCAACCTGTGGCTTTTGTTTTCATTTTTTAAATTATGTCTTTTGAAGAGCAGAAGCTTTAATTTTAAAATATTTCAGTTTCTTTTTTTTCTTTTTATGGTCTTTTTAAGTCTTTTTTCTTTTATACATTTGGTGTCATACCTAAAAAAAATTTTTTTGCCTAATCCACAGTAATTTTCTTCAAGTGCTTTCTTTTACAAGGTTTGTAGTTTCAGTTCTTAATTTTAGATCTATGATCTTACCATTTTGAGTCAAGTTTTGTACATAGTACAAGGTAAAGGCTAAGGTTCTTTCCCCCCTCCATATGTATAACCAGTCTTTGGTACCACTTTTTGAAAAGACTGCCCTTTCCTCATTGAATTACCTCGCCACCTTGGTTGAATATGAATTGATATAACTACGTGGGCCTGGTTTTGGACTCTGTTTTCTTCTGTTGTTTATCCCTATGCCAATAACCCACTGTTTTATTGTAACTTTATAGTAAGATTTTGAAATCAGGTACTATGTTTCAACTTTTGATGTAATCTTAAAGTTAGCCCCCTGTTCAGAAATTTTCCATCAGTCTCTCTGGGCGGTAATGTGCAGATAGTTAAAGCTATTAAGACATCTGGGGGAGAATCAGTTCTGCTTGGGGATTGATTGGGTTACCTGTCACAGCTAGCAGCATTTCCCAGCATCATACTTGGCATAATTGTGTATAATACCTACTATGTACCAGGTGCTTTCTGTTACTATCTCATTTAATACTTCCAAGGTACTGCAGAGAGGACGGTGGTATCCTGATTTTATAGCTGAGTCCACAATAGTCACTAAGCGGCTGCTAGGGATTTAGTAATATTTACACGATAAGGCTGGTTTTTGAAACCTCTCTTAACCCTAGCTTCTTTCCACTGCTCTGTGCAGCCTGGCCTCCTCATAGTGACCTATTCCTTTGTGGAGAGGAGGTTTATATTTTTAGTTTATATAGTGGCAACAGTAGTGGTGGTCAGAGAGAAAAGGGTAACATATATCCCTTTGCCTTTTCTTGCAAGGTTCCTGCCTTTCCTTCTGTCACTCTGCCCTGGGCCTGGCAGAATGACAAAAGGAAAGACATTTCCTCCTCCTTCCCTTGAAACTTCTGAAGTAGCCTCATGAAAACTATCAGGACTGGTAGAAGAGCAGTGGCACTGAACCGCTGTGCTGTACACCTGAAACTAACATTCTAAATCAACTATGCTTCAATCAAAAAATAAAACAAAAAAAGAGTAGTGGGATATTGATTTATTATAGGGTTATCATTGCCCGTACTATTGCTTTAAATAGCCATTATCTTACCTTAGTGGCTTCTAAAACATTTTGTAATTCTATAAGTATTTTACTTAATTCTTGTTTAAAATGTTACACCAAGATATTACACTATACCATGGAAATTATTCACATCTTCTGTCTTCATGTCCTTATACGTCTGTCTTTAGCTTAGATTCATTAACACTTTCCCCTCATATTATATTAGCATATTAATAAAAAAAACTTTCCAAGTGGTATAGATCAAGCAGTAATTGTTTAATATCATCATTCCTACTAACATCACCAGTTTTAGCTCTTAACTGTTGCCGAGTGTGATGTCCTTGAGCAGATGAGTTGTTGGTATGGAATCAGAATGGGCTTAATTTGGCTGGCACAACGAGTACCTTTACCCCAGCAGTGTGGGGAGGATTGATGGCTCCCATTACGTAACAGTTTACTGCACTCTGCTCACGGACTGCTACTTGAGGAGAATCCATTCATTTTATTTACTGTGATAACTTCTTATTTGCATACAGATTTCCTTTTGTTTTTCGTGAATCATCTCTGCGTAATACTCTAGCTACATTTCATTACATATGATGATGATCTCCAGACTGATAAAGTCGTGGTAAAAATCAAAATGCATTTTTTTCCCGTTTCTTTCCCCTTTAGACCTCTCAGATTATGAAATCAGATTTTTCTAGTGTCCTAGGAAAATGAGCTTTTTTCTACTGTTAGGTTCTATTTATTATTCTAAAGAGTAAAGGACTCTTAAGAGACTTAATACTATTTTAAGTTTGATAATGGATCAAAGTGTGAATTATTACTGATTATTGTCACCTGAAGGAAAAAAACAGTAACTCAGTTATAAAAACATTCCTTGAAGCTGATTAAATTTAGTAGTATATAATATTTAAAATAAAGACATACTACTACCACTAGCAGTCAGACAGTTTTTCTTGAGTCCATAATATACACAAGAGTGGTAAACATTAATACATATAAAATACTATAAGCACATATTTTTTGTATTCATATTCCTCACTGTGCATCTTGGAAACTTCTTTGGTGTAGTGGAATTGTTTCTTGTGTGGATCAGAGAAAATACGACAGGGTCCTTCAAAGCCATGCTTTTTGCTCTCAGAGATACACACCCAGAAGACACGTGGTGAGCAGTTGCCCTCATTATTGGAAATGTTCAGTTCTTCCTCGTCTTTTCCCACACTTACTCTTGCAAATTGTCATAGATAGCATCATTTTTACATCATCTTACCCAGGACCTTTTTTTGAGACAAATTATTCACTTTTGAATGTTTCCTTAAACAATTATGACATAGATGTTTATTTCAATAATTTCAAGCGTCCCTATTCCATATAGGCAAACTGTAAATCGCAGCAGGCTAAGGTCAGTTTGTGAGTTTATTCATTCATTCATTCTGGAAACATTTACTGCGTACTGTATGACTGCGTGCTGGGCGCTGGGCTAGCCCTAGGAGTGAGTGTGGTGTGGAAATGGGTGCCTCAGGCCGCCTCTACTTTTTTTCCGCCTTTAGTGCTAGTGACTAGACAAGCAATTACCAGAAAGCGTAGTTAAGTATTATAGTGGGAACTCAAAATGAGGGTAGACACTTCGTAATTCACACTGAAATGTGGCCTTACATATTTTACATTCGCTTGTACAAAGACAAGTACATTACTTACCTCCTTCTTGACTTACCATGCAATTTAATGGAGACTTGTTATTAATGAGTATTTCTTGTATATTGGTTGTAAAAAAAAACACATCTACTCTAGTGAGTGTAACAGGATTCAGCATTTTTAAAATTCATATTTGTTCATTTCTTTACATTGCAGATTTCTCTTGGATTTGGCCACAAATTTATAGATCTTCTGCACTGTGTACAGGCACAGGTGAGTTAAAAGTAAGCTTTTCTATTGGTGTGTTTTGGTTTTTAAGTAAATTCATTTAAAATTACTCTGTTTATAATTTAGCAAAATAACATATAAGTAAAATGAATGTAAATAAAACCCCAAAATGTTGAATATTTGTGTTGGTTTCATTATGAAAATTCTCTGTGAATGTGTTGGAAATAATATTTGAAGGTAAAATGAGCGTATGACCGTATCTGTTTATCAGTGTCTATTTGAGAAGAGTTTACATTTACCAGTTGGATGAGGGGAACTGTAATTTCATAGCTTGGCAAAGTGTTTACATTTATTTTTATATGTAAATAAAAAAGAATAGGCTGCTAGATTTTGGCAGCAAATTTCAGTCTTACAGGGGCAGATTTAATGAGCAAGCTTTTCTTGTCCAACCAGTCTGAAATAGCTTCTCAGTCACTCCTTATCACACAGCCCTGCTGTACTTTTATCATAATGTTTGGATCATGTGATATATTCTTGTTTATAGTCTCCCCTACTAGAATATAAGCTCCATGAATGTTGGGGCCATTTTTGTCTTGTTAAAAACAGTATTTCTAACCCTTAGGATGTGCTTATTACATAGGTAAGACTGAGTACATCTTTGTTACAGTAATTATTGGGTAGTAAATATTATGAATTTATTTATATTCACAGCCATTGAACTCTGCATCTGTTAATACAAACTAGAAATAGCTCCTTATACTTATTTCTAAATATGCTATTAATTTATATCAGATACTTAAAGTATATAACTCTTAAGTGTTCAGAGGAATTACCTGTGTTACATATTTTATGTACTCAAGTGTGCTTAATCAGGGTAGAATTCAGAGGATAATGCTTCCAATTCTGTATTTACTTTGTCACTACGCTAGAAGGGTCTTAGAATCCAGTGATGGGTAAACTTGAAGCAAGTGTGGGAGCTTCTCCCCTCCTTACTCCATCCTGCTACCGTGCTGGATATGTTTTGTGATACCCTTAAGGAGAGCAAAGTAGATTTGAAGGTAGTTGTCCAATTTTAACCTCTGAAAACCAAATAACTTAAAAATTTCCCACTACCTTTCATTGCATAAAAATGTAATTTATTTAACTTCGTTTCCTCTTTGTAGATTGGGGAAAATTTGGGGTCATTTTTCTGCCCTCCATATTGATGTGTGGATTCATTATCAAAGATAGCTGCATGCATAAGCTGACCACCTGTTTCCTTGTGTTCTTGGCAGTTTTTAAGTGTTCCAAGGTGTGAATTGCTGCTGTTGGGTTCTTGTCTCTTGTTTTCTTGTGAGTTTTGTTTTTTGGTCTATTTCACCTTCTTCAGGCATTAATCTCTCCTGCCATCATGATTTTTCATTTAGAGAAAGAACCGAGTCTGACCTTTAGGTTTTTGGGTTTGTTTTTTTTTAAGTGAAATTTTAGGAATTTGCACAGCCATTTCTTAATTCATATCTAATTTACAAGTGCAGAAATTCCTTTGACAACCCTAATTACAGCAGCTGTTACTTACGGCTCCCTTACCGTGTGCCAGGCATTATATAAGAGCTTTTGGTTATCTTCAGAATAACAGATAAGGAAATTGAAGCTTAGAGAGGTTAAGTGACTTCTCCAAGGTCATATCTAGTAAGTGGCAGTTTTCCACTCCAAAGACTTTGATCTTGACCCCTGAGTTCCGTTTTCTGCGTAAATAGCCCTGAATACAAGCATATTTGTGGCAATAGGGGTAACATAGGAAAATCTCATTCATATTTAAGGATTTCAAAATTAATTTTAGAATCAAACATGATTTTTCTAATATTTTTCATTAGCAGGTCTTAACTTTTAACCTTTATTTCAAACTGTGAAACACGATGACTCACTTGAAATTTAATGGAGACCTGAACAACTTGAATGCCCGCGCCGGCACTTTCATTGCATACCCAGCTTTGGGGGGAAGGCTGTTGGAATTAGTTTTTCCATTATAAACATGGTATGCTATGAATTGGCATTCTTTACCCTTTGCAATGTTAGAAATTTTATTTCTAAGTAAATAAACGAGTGGCATCTGTGGTTTGTTGGATGAATCACTTTTCCTACAGAGAACAGGTTGTGTGAAATACTGTGAATATAGAATTACCTAGAACCCTTTTCTTGGAAGCTGTAATAATTTATGCCTCCGGGGAAATTTTTAAAAATTATTTTAGAAATGAATTGCAGTAGCTTTGAGGTAGAGCAAGGTTGGCTCACGTAGAACTTCAGCTTTCCTTATTTAGTTTTCTTTCAGGGCTGAGTAGGTCATATCATATGGAGATACTTTGAGTCTTAAGTGTATAATGTTGTGGAGAAAATATTCTTGAAGGCAGTGTTGTTGAATATATCTTAAAATTTTGATTTGAAAACATGAGTAAGTATACTTATCACACTTTCAAAAAGGATTATATCTATGAGTGAAAATGCCAATTCCAGATTTGAGTATACGGAAAGGGAATTCTGTCGTTTGAATTGAACAAGACAACATTTATTTAACAGACTGAACTGTGCTGTTTCATCTATTGCTACATCAATATTTCCATTCAGCCTCACATTTTAAGCATTTTCAAAGTTAGCCAATAAAATTTTCTTCGAACTGATAGTCAAAACAGGGGCAGATGTTAGATAAATCTAATTGACAGCATAGCCTTGAAATGTAATTTTCCCTTTGCTGTGGAAAACTGAATGCACTGTGGATTCATATATCTGTATTTTAGATTTATTTATAAGTTTATTTTCTCTATTTTAGAAATATCTGGGGTAAGAGGACAGGGTGGGATGGGTGGGGAAAGAATTGTTCATACTTACTAGGTAGAGCTCAGCTCCTCAACGTTAATATGGAGAGAGAAGGTCTCCAAAGTACAGTAAAGCATAATATACTTCTTGTGGTACTAATACATTTTGGTGTTATAACTGAATTCTAAATACTAAAAATTATATTAAGCATATCAAGACATAGAAGAAAATATGTCCATATTGAATATGGCAAAGGTTGAAAGTACATTTCAAATGAATATTTGTTGGATGTTGAATTCCCTCTTTGTTCATAGATGTGAGATTTGTGATTAGCAATCTGATTTAACTCAAATGTGTAAAATCCCACAAAGATGGGCAGCTTGATTTGAGCTACAAATCTGAGGCTTTGAGCACTGTTCGCTGAAAATCAGTGTTATTCTAAACAAAAATGTAGAATATTTAAATATGTACATTTTGCTTTAGGCGAAAATCTGCGAACACTTAATTGTATTGCTATTTTTGTGGTATTTCCTTCAGACTATCAGCATGGTAGGCACTGTGATTTGGAAAATAAATAGTTTGACAGTTGACAAAATGCCCTCAAGTCATTTAGCTATTTAGACTAGAATCCTAATCCTAGCCCCCGGGGTGGAACCCTCCGCTCTCTGTATGTGGAATGGGCTCCTGACCTCAGGATGGAACAGGCTTCCGCGTAGGTTGAAATGATCTTCCAGTGCGTGTTACTGACACAGAGCCACAGTTGGAAGCTATTTGTATGACAGCCAGTTTTTTAAATCTTCTTACTGTTCTGCTTTCCTCCCTTTTAAGGTGCACATTCACGTACACAGATTGGCTTCATTTTCCCCCTAGAACTACATTCATTCAGCATCTTCTTCTTCCCTCCTTCCCTTTACCTTCAGTCCCTCTTTCCTTCCTTCTGACTGTCTGTACTTTCAGAATATTAATTATTTATATCGTGCTAGCCTGTGTTAAGTGCTATGGGAAATATAAAGAATAACTACCAGAAATTATTAAGCTGGAAAAGGAATATCAATGCAAGCTTAACTCTGTGTTTCCTTGCTTGTTATTTTCACGTTGAATTTTGGCTTTCTGATTTTTCTTTTAAAGAACAAAAACTGAGCGTTGATTTCTGAATTACACGTCTGTATGTACTAAAAGTCTTAATCTGTGTCCATGTGAGTAGAGGTCAGGTAGGCAACAGCAACAAAAGCTCTCTCTCTTAGGTAAATATTTTATTTACGTGGAGTTAACTGTGGCTTTCAAAGTGTGCTCCTGGGAAGGTACACACCTCATGAGGTAGTTGTGTTGTGTTTTGTGAGGCTGAGACTGGCCAGAGTCCAGGCAGCCTCCATTTAGAATAGCGGTTTTGCTGTTTCCATAGGTACAGATCAGCAAGTGATGTAAGCATAGTGCATCGCTGAAAAACATACCAGGAGCGTGGCAGAACCTGATTTTTTTGTTCTTAGAGGAAGTAGCACTGGAACCAGCATCTTCTGAGAAAGAGTGGGCTCTGATTCTTCCGCTTTGCTTTCTGAGCTGTAGGACAGGTGTGTGCATGTTTGGGAGTGGGGAGAAGTGGGTGCAGATTGTTAATAAAATGTATACTCTCATGCCTTTTGTTTGTTTGTTTGTTATTGGCCTCTAGATTTCAGTTGCAACTTGTATATTCTACTTACCTGGACAGCAGAATGTTAGCTTTAGGGACAAGGTCTGCGGTGAGCAGAATTTCACAGTCGTGCTACCATGGTAACTGACACGTGGCATTTGATTGGGGTTAGTAAGAGTTCTGGCTATACTGCTCACGTTCACTCTGGAAGGAAAGAGGCAGATAAATGTCATTTTCTAGTTAGGTGTTGAATTCGAGTCAGCTGGCCTTTCCAGAATTCCCTTAAAGATAAAATAGCAAATAAAATCAGGCTGCTTCCATTAAATACCTCATAGTTTTTCTTTTTTTAAACATTTTTCATTGACTTATAATCATTTTACAACGTTGTGTCAAATTCCAATGTTCAGCACAATTTTTCAGTCATACATGGACATATACACACTCATTGTCACATTTTTTTCTCTGTGAGCTACCATAAGATTTTGTGTATATTTATTTCCCTGTGCTATACAGTATAATCTTGTTTATCTATTCTACAATTTTGAAATACCTCATAGTTTTTCGTTTGTTTTTTTAAAGTTCAAATCATTTATGTCATTCCCAACTGTTTGCAACATCTAGATGTAAG